TGCTGCAGAGAGAAGGACATCGAGATGTTCCTGGAGTCCAGCCGCAGCAAGTTCATTGGCTACACTCTGGGCAGGTGGGTTCCTGCAGAGCCATCCTGGGGAACTGTTGGTGTGGGGGTGCTGTGGCAGAGGCTGCTAGTGTGGGGGCTGCTGCTGCCCTCCAATCGGCAAACTCAGGGCTTCTCTGCTGCCAGCTCCTCTGGGTGGTGGTCCCTGACCTGCCCATGGGGTGGGTGGCTCATGATTGCTCCTGTCTGCAACCAGCCCAGCTTTTTCCCTTCTCTCCAGTGACACCAACACAGTGGTGGGGTTACCCAGGCCCATCCATGAAAGCATCCGAACCCTGAAGCAGGTGAGTACGTTGATGGATTCCTCCAGTTCTTGCCTTTGTGTGGGTCCCCCTCCCCCTGCACTGATCACAGGTCGGGGCCAGTGCTGTGTTTTCCTGACCTCTCCCCACCTTGCTCAGTCCTGTGAGATGAGAGACCTCAAGTTTTCATCTCTTCCCTGGTTTCCCAGGCTGGCCAAGCCTTTTTCCTCACTGGCTTCATCCTTTTCTTACTGGGGTTGTCCCAGAGGTGAGACCAGCAGCCACCGTCCCCCTGCCTCCCTCCCCATCAGTGTTGGGTCACCAGTAGGATAGGAGTAAAAAGGTTCCTGGAGGGACTAAAAAAGATGAGAGGACAGAGCGGGAAATGCAGTAATGCTGGGGCAGTGTCAGGATGTGCTGCAGAGCAGGCAGGGAGTGATGACATTGGTGGAGGACTCTGGCCCTTGGTGTGAACCCTCTTCTTTCTCTCTGCAGCACAAGTACACGTCAATCGCAGAGGTGCAAGTGCACATGGAGGATGAGTACCTGCGCTCCCCGCTCTCTGGGGTGAGTGTGGGGTGGGGATGGGGATGAGGCTCCAGAGTTGGAGCTGTGGGCATGTGCTTCTGCCTGGTGTTTCAGCAGTCGGGAGGGCTGGGTTTGCTCTGCAGGTCGTTAGGGAAGGAGGAGCAATTTCTCCAGGGACAGAGAGTGGGGTATGTGAGGGGACGTTGGGCAGGAGCTGGGGATATCCTGCCCTCAGGGTCAGAACACCCAGGGCTGAAACAGACCCTTTGCACTGGTGGCTGTTCCTGGTGTGAGGTTTTCTGATCTCTCCTGGCACCAGGGGGAAGAAGAAGTAGAGCAAGTCCCTGCAGAGATCCTGTACCAGGGCCTCCTGCCGAGTCTGCCGCAGTACATGGTGAGCACTGTGGGTCTCCTCGGCTCTGCTCCATCCTCCTGGAGCCGATCTGGGAGCCTCTCGCCTCTGCTGTTCTGTCCTTTTCTAGTCATGTCCCCACGTTTTCTTCCCTCTGAACATATGTGTCACTGTCCCTCTGTTGTCTGGTGGGGCAGGGTGGCTTGTGGCTGGTTTCCCCCACCCCCTTTTCCATCTCTCTCTTTTCTCCCCAGATTGCTCTCCTGAAGATCCTCCTTGCTGCAGCTCCCACATCCAAAGCTAAGACGGACTCTATCAACATCCTGGCAGATGTCTTACCAGAGGAGATGCCGTGAGTGACCATGGAGGGCGAGCGGAGGAGTTCAGTTGTAATGGGGAGGGAAGGAAGAAGGGTTCGGAGCCAGGCAGGATCGTGGGGGCTGTGACTGGGCTGATGCTTCCTGGGCAATCTGACTATCGTGTGGTGTAGCAGAACCTGACTGCATTCCCTGCTTGATAGCCCAGGGAATGGCAAGGCTGCCCACAGACACCTCTGGGGCAGCCTCTGGGGCTGGTAGGGTGCAGGCACTGCCCCAAGGATTCCTCTGTGTGCCCCAGGACCACAGTGCTGCAGAGCATGAAGTTGGGAGTGGATGTCAATCGGCACAAGGAGATCATCGTCAAAGCCATTTCTGCTGTCTTGCTCCTTCTGCTCAAGCACTTCAAACTGAATCACATCTACCAGGTGAGCTGGGCCAGGGTCTGGCCACCAAGCTTCTGGGATGGGCAGCACCCAGGATGGGTCTGCATTCACCTGCCCACTTGGCCTTTCTCCGCAGTTTGAGTATATGGCCCAGCATCTGGTGTTTGCCAACTGTATCCCACTCATCCTGAAGTTTTTCAACCAGAACATCATGTCCTACATCACTGCCAAGAACAGGTAGTGGGGGAGGGTACGGGAAAGGGGGTTCTGCTTGCTTTCTCCCTCCCTGGCCAGGGCTTGGGTGCAGGCAGGCCCAGTTGTGGGACTGCATTGCCCCACAGCCCTGCATGGGGTATGATCCATGGGAGCAGTGTGACACCCTCCCTCCTTTCTGCAGCATTTCTGTCCTGGACTACCCATACTGTGTGGTGCACGAGCTGCCGGAGCTGACAGCGGAGAGTCTGGTATGCTGCTCCCTTCTCTTCGGGCTGCTCCCTTCTCTTCGGGCTCCCAGTGACCTGTGGTGCTTTCCAGAGGGGTTTGTGGGCGCAGGGAGACAGCAGGGCTCCAGCACCCAGACCTGGCACCCTCAACACTTCTGTGCTCTGCCTCTGGCACTGCTGCGGGTTCTGTGGCTACCCTTGGGCTGGCAGGCATCTCCTGGCTGCTTGCTGTGCCGTGCCTCTTTGGGCAACGGTCCTGGGGCCAGCACAGCCTCTCCTTTTCATGTCTGCATCCCTGCTTCCATCTCATGCTTTACTTCTCCCTCTGCTTTCCTGCAGGAGGCAGGAGACAACAACCAGTTTTGCTGGAGGAACCTTTTCTCCTGCATAAACCTCCTGCGCATCCTGAATAAGCTGACCAAGTGGAAGCACTCCCGCACTATGGTGAGGGCTGGGGACTCCTCGGGCTCAGCCCAGGCAGGCTAAATTGGGTGAGAGGATGGTGGGTACCTTGGGGTGCCCCTCAGGCTACACCCCAGAACTTGCTGGAGAGTGGGAGAGCAATGGGGGTGCCTGCAGAGTGAAGGGAGGTGGGTGGGGAGTGGGAGGCTTCTGGGGAGGGTGCGTGCATGCTGCACGGAAGGTTTGTGTGTGTGCCTGGGCTGGAGGGGGGGGCTGGCACCTGTACAGCAGGGGGCACCCGGGTGTCCCCAGCTGTGCCACCACCCGGCCCTGGCTGTTCCTTAGATGCTGGTGGTGTTCAAGTCTGCGCCCATCCTGAAGCGGGCACTGAAGGTGAAGCAAGCCATGATGCAGCTCTACGTGCTGAAGTTGCTTAAGGTGCAGACCAAGTACCTGGGTCGGCAGTGGAGGAAGAGCAACATGAAGACCATGTCAGCCATCTACCAGAAAGTACGGCACCGTCTCAATGACGACTGGGCTTATGGCAACGGTATGTCTGCTGCAGCTGCCACGGTGTCCTGTTACCCGCAGTCCTTCCACTCCATGCAGAGATGTGTTTGTGCCAGAGCTGTCCCTTTGCTTAGGGCTTTTGCAGCCCCTAGGTCTGGGAAGATTTGGGGGTGATGGCATTGTGGGGAAGGAGCTGGCAGTGGCCAGCAGTGTTGGAAATGTCGGTGGCTGCCTGCTCTGTGCCTATGCATTCTGCTCTTTGTAAGAATTTGAAAAATCTCATCCTGGGGGATGTTGGTTGCCTGAAGTGCTCCAGATCTCCTCTGACACCCTCTTCCCTCTGCCCAGACCTGGATGCCCGGCCCTGGGATTTCCAGGCAGAGGAGTGTGCCCTGCGTGCCAGCATTGAGCGCTTCAACTCACGCCGCTATGACCGGGCGCACAGCAACCCTGACTTCCTGCCTGTGGACAACTGCCTGCAGAGCGTGCTGGGCCAGCGCGTGGAGCTGCCTGAGGATTTCCAGGTCAACTACGACCTGTGGCTGGAGAGAGAGGTCTTCTCCCGGCCCATCTCCTGGGAGGAGCTGCTGCAGTGATGGCCTCGCAGCGAGGATAGTGGGGAAGCAGGAGGTGTCTGGGGACAGGCTGGAGGCTGGGGGGTGAAGCCGCAGGTGTGTGGCTTTAGCAGGGTCTGTGGGTGCCTGGCCCCCTGCGGCAGGGCTGGGAGGGATCCGGGATGCCATGGTGCCCCTCTGCCTTCTCCCAGGCTTTGTCATCCTCAATCCTGTGCTGGGGGTGAAGGCTTTGAAAAGAGGCCACAGTTCCCTGGGTGTCTCCTGTTAGATGGAGGATGCTGTGCCCCTGCTCCAGCCTTTCAGATGTGGCACTGCCATCGCCCTGCCACCTCCTCTCACCAGCCAGGGCCGAGGAGGGAGAGCAGTTAGTGGAGCAAATCGAGGGGAGGTGATGCTGTGGGACACAGGGCGACTGTGGCAGGAAAACCGTAGCTGTGTCCCCCCCACCAGACCCTGCTGGGGGACACAGCAAGGGGGCCAGGGGCGCTGGGAACATGGTGGTGACAGGGCCGAGGGGCTGGGGTGGGCTGGAGGCTGCAGTCTTGCCTTGCCCCGCTGGGTGGGGTGGATGAGCTGTACATATATATATATATTCGCGATACCTCTGAGCTGTGTGTCTGATCTGTCTGCGTCCTCATCCCTTTGGCCCCAGGGAAACAGCCATGGGTGAAGACAGTGGTGGGGCTGAGCTGGTGCCCAGGTTCGTGGTCTTGTGTTTCCCATCCTTGTCCCCACGTGGTCCTCAGGTCACACACTTAAGGCGGACCAGATCTGTTGGCCTAGGGGGTGATCATCCCCCTGTCCTCTGCTCTGGTGAGGCCGCACCTCAAGTGCTGTGTTCAGCTTTGGGCCCCTCACTGCAAGAAGCACATCAAGGCCCTGGAGTGTGCCCAGAGCAGGGCTGCGAGGCTGGGGAAGGGCCTGGGACACAAGTCCTGTGAGGAGCGGCTGAGGGCACTGGGCGTGTCTGGGCTGGGGAAGGGGAGGCTCAGGGCAGAGCTCATTGCTCTCTGCAGCTCCCTGAGAGGTGTGGGGAGCTGGGGGTCGGCCTCTGCTCGCAGATACCCAGGGTCAGGAGCAGAGGGAACGGCCTGGAGCTGTGCCAGGGGAGGTTGAGGTGGGCAATGAGGAGCCATTTCTGCTCAGCCAGAGCGGGCAGGCGTTGGGACGGGTTGCCCAGGGAGGTGGGGGAGTCCCCGTCCCTGGGGGGGCTCCAGGAGAGGTTGGGGCTGGTGCTTGGGGACACGGCTCAGTGGGTGCTGGTAGTGGGGGGACAGTTGGACCAGGTGATCTTGGAGGTATTTTCCAACCTTAACGAATTCTGTGATTCAGTGGAGGAGCTGGAGACCAAAACCATCCCTGGAGCCTGGTCACAACAGAGCTCCCCTTTGTGCCTTGCTGTGCCTCAGTTTCCCTGACCAAGGGGTAGCAGCAGCTGTGGGTAGCTTGGGTTGGTGAATCCCAAAAGATTCACCCCTGATTTCAGCGAGAGGCAAGACAGGGGCAGAGGCTGAACCCATGGTGCTCCTGCTGGGTGTCCCGTGACACAAACCATCCCCTTGCTGCACCCTGCCCTCGTTCCCCGCTGAGCGGTGTGGATGGGGGGGGCTGTGGTGTGTTTGTTTGCAAAGCTGAACTGCTGAGGGCTGCTTCCCTCCCGCTGGGGTTTGGGCAGCCCCCGGCACCCACCTTGTGCCTGCTCCACTCCCGGGGCAGGAGCCAGCGCCCGAGCAGCCGAGGTGTGAGCGAGCTGTGTCTCCATCAAGCCTCTCCGAAATGTTCCCCAGCTGTGCGGGTGATCACAGACCGTGGCTTTTACAGCATGGCCCCAGCCATAAATAACTTATTAAAGTGTGTTTTATTGTTTATAAATGAGTAACAAAATCCCTGCAGATGGCAGGGGCTGCAGGAAGTGGGGGTGCGGTATGGGGCCCCTGGGGGTTGTCCACCTGCCGTGGCCATGGTGCTCCTGGGGTACTGAGACTTTTGGAGGGTTTTGCATGGAAACCTTGTTTTTTTTTTTTTTTTTTTTTGTTTTGTTTTGTTTTGTTTTGTTTTGTTTTGTTTTGTTTTTTTTTTCCCCAGATTGGGCTGGTCAGTGAGGCTCGGCCTTTCCTGAGCGTCTCCACTTTCCTTCCCCAGCACGGGCATGCAGCAGAACTGGCAGCAAAAGGGGAGGGCTGTTTTGGATATTACGTTGTGTTTTTTTTTTTGGCACAAGGGGGTATAACAGCATCTTTTAAAGATGGGGTCAGCAGGAGCAAGAAGAGACCTGTTCTTGGCTTGATTTGGGCAATTTGGCCGTGGTGACGGGGCGTTTACTGTCTGGAAAGTAAGCTCGGATGCACTGCCTTGAAGAGGTGTTTGGGGGTGTTTTGCAGTTTGCTCCGGGACCCCCCTGTCACAGAGCAAATGAAGCACATCAGCTGCATGGGGAAATTCAGTCATGTCCCCTCCTTCCCGATGCCTGAGACCACTCCAAAAATTGGACACCCCCCCCACCCGAAGTGACCATTTCTTCCAGGACAGCTGCAGCTGGGGCACCCAGACTGGGACGGAGGGAGGGGAGGGAGGAAGGGGGGAGCTCTGCGCTGGTTTAGGGGCCACGTGTCCAAGCTGGGGAAGAGAGCAGCCCAGTTCCCCAGGAGAAGGGAATGGTGCCCCAAAACCACCCAGCTCCCCCTGCCATGCGGGTCTCCCCTCCCTGCCCCCATGGTCACCTTCCCTGGGGGCTGCAGCCTCAGAGTATCCTCAGGGTTTTCTGGAGCTGATTTCCAGGTCCCAGCACCAGCCCCCATGGCAGAGGCAGTGACAGCTGGGCCCCCACCAGCCACTTGCTGCTTCTCTGTGTCTGCGGGGGGGGGGGCAGAGAGGTGCCAGGGTGGGCTGTGTTTCGGGGGTACCCTTTTGCTGCCCCCCGATAGCGCGATGGAGAGGGCTGGGCTGGGGGAAGCTGGCAGTGATCGGGGTGCATGGGGGACAGGGGTGACCCCGCTGCCCCGCTCCCACCCCCCAGTGCCGAGCGGTGCTGTGTGCCTCGGGAGGGAGGAGGCAGGCAGGGAGGATGCGTCCTGGGGCTGTGGGGGGCTCAGGCGAGGGGTCCATGTCCCGTGGGGGTGGGTTACGTGGTCCAGCCCAGCAGGCTGCCCGGCTCCTTGGCTTTCATCCGCAGCGTCACCAGGGCGGGCGATTTGTAGTCGTTCTCTGGAGGGGGCTCGAAGGGGTGGCCACCGAGGGTCGGGGGGAGGCCGTGCAGGGAATACAGACTGTTGATGCCGGGGGGGTGGCTGGGAGAGGTGGGGATGCCCATGAAGCTGGCCATGTTGCTGTGAGCGTGGGGGTACGGAGACACGCACGGGGACGGGATGCTCTCGGGGGCCACGAGACAAGGCCCTGTTGGGCTCCCAGGGCCGGAGCTTGGCCAGAGGTTGCTCTGCAGCTGAAAAAAAGGAACAGGAATCCCGAAGTGAAGCGGGGGAGAGGCTGGGTATGCGCAGATGAGGGTCGGGACCACATCGCCCCCCCCAGCTCTTGAATCCCCCTTGCCCCCAGCGAGCGAGCAATGCAAGGGCTGCCGTTGCTTTACTTTAATTGCTTGGGGGAGCTAATCCTGATGGAAATCTGTGCAGAACGCTGCCCTGTAGGGTGTGCAGTTTGCAGTGCTGCTGACCCCCCTGTCACCTCCCCAGCCCTGTTCCCTTGTGGTGCTGCAGCCCCTACACCAAGCAGGGCAGTCACGGGAGAGTATGGAGGATGTGTACAAAGCTGCTTTTTAAACTATTTTTATGCTTGTCAGTGTTTGAAAATAAGGCAGTTTTGCAGAAAAGGGAGGGATGAAATGCTGACGGATTTATAGGACGATGAGGAAGAGGAGGGAGACCCTGGGTGACCATGCAACATCAGGGGATGCTGACGGGAATGATGGATCACCAGCCCTGCAAAAGGGGTTTCCTTGCATGGGGGGGAACCCAACACCTTCCCGGAGGGGCACGTTCCCAGGGGAGACGGCAGGGCCATGAAGCAGCCTCTTCCTGCCCTAGCAGAATGTGATGCTGCATCTTCCCTGTTCTCCCGTGGGGGCCAGGTGCCTTACAAGGGGGCACAACCACACAGCTCGTGGCAGAGGCAAAAGCTGGGCACTGTGGGTTACCGATGGGGGTAGTGGGGTGCTGTGGGCAGCTGTGGGGTTTCTCACCTCCTGGATTTTCCCATAGCGTTCCCGTTTCCGCCACTTGGCCCGTCGGTTCTGGAACCAGACCTGGGGGGCAGAGGAGGGGCTGAGGCGTGGAGACCCCTGCCTGTCCCGGCAGAAAGAGTAGCCTGTGGTGCCCCCCCATCGTCCCCTTCCCCTGCTGATTCTCTCCATGGTGGGGAATGGAGAAAATTCCCTCGTGTGCAGCTCTGGACAGCCTCAAGCTCCCCAGATGTTTTCTCTAGCAAAAGAACAGAAATGGCGCATCTCTCTTGGAAAAGAAGCAGTCCTGCTCCACGCGTGGTGATTTTCTCTCCCTTGTGATTCTGGGCTTCATTTACCCCAGATTTTGCTGCAGGAGGCTCTTCAGGACAAGACCCCCCACCCCACACCCCCTCTGTGCTGCTGGGAGTGTACCGGTACAGCAACGTGTCCCGGAGAGCAGGACGTGGTGCTGGGATTCCTGCCACACAGCTCTCAGTGCTACTGTTAATTTCAGCCAAATGCACCCCAAACCAGGGCTTGCAGCTCTCTCAGAGGCCATGGCAGGCACGGCGAGGCTGGGTATGTGCTGGCTGGGGGTGTGTGTCCCCTGCCCCTGCCCCATGCAGGGGGCAGTACCCAGAGCCCGGTGGCTCGGGGCAGTCAGTGCCCAGCCTCATGCCACGCGCCCCCAGCCTTGTGCCCTGCTCTGTTCCCCCCCTGCCTGCGCTGCTCTCTCCACCGGCCCCCCCTCCAAGTCTCCTCCGCCAGCACAGAGTGTCACACCGTGTGGCAATGCCTCTGGAAAAGCCTGCTGGCCTGCTGCTGGTACGGTGCCGGCAGAGCTGGGGCACGGAGGGAGGGCCTCACCCCACCCCACAACACAAAACTGGGGTCCTGGGATGGGATCCCCAGCCCCATCCAGGCTGCACCCTGGGGGTTTCGACTGGGTGTGGGGATGCTCCATCACTGCTCATCTGGGGTTGGGATGGGAGGGAGGCCAGGGGGGTGTTAGGAGGGTGTTTGGTGGGGCACAGGGTACGAGGAGGCTGGGGGGTGCTGGCAGCAGCCTCCCAAATTTTAACTTCTGCTGTCCCTTGGAGGGGACAAAGGAAGAGGTGCAGTGAGGCAGCTGGCACTTGGCACCACTGTGGTGGTGGGCGCAGCGAGCACCAGGGCTGGGATTTCCTCCCTGGGGCTTGGCCCAATCCCCCAGGAAGCACCAGCCCCTCACTCAGCATCACCTCCGCAAGCTCTGCTGTGCAGGAGAGGAAAGTGTCCTCCAGCCCTGCCTGGCACGACCCCTTAGCAAGATGCCGAGAGCCCCGAGCCGTACCTGCACCCTGGCCTCGGTCAGGTCTGTCCGCAGCGCCAGCTGCTCCCGAGAGTAGACGTCGGGGTAGTGCGTCTTCTGGAAAACCTTCTCCAGCTCCTCCAGCTGGAAAGTGCTGAAGGTTGTCCTGTTCCTCCGCTTCTTGCTCTTGCTCCTGCCCAGCGGCAGGGACTCGGGCAGCGGGGGAGCTGGGTGCTCCCGCAGGCTGCCCAGGGGTGCTGCCAGCATGCAGCCCAGCTGTCCCGGGGCTTTGCTGGGGGCTCGGCAGGCTGCGGGCACCACCTGGTACTCGCCTTTGCATCCCTTCTCACCACCTGGGAGGGGAGAGTCACAAGGCGGGTTGGTTAACGCAAGGAGCCCCCCGTTCCTGCGGGGAGAGGATGAAGACTGCATTTTGGGTGCATTCCGCATCACCCCATGAGTTGTGTGGGTGCAGCTCCAGGGGAAAGGGGCTCCGTCTGGGTCAAAGTCATGGCAGGGAGCGTGGAGAGCAAAGCCCTCGCCCTGGGGGAGCGGGGGGCTGGCTCCCCAAGGGTGCCAGGGGACAGCTTGGTGGGTGCTCGGCACCGCAGGACCCGCACTTGGGGCGCCTCTCAGGAGCTGCTCTGATGGGTACAGGGTGTGCGGCGGGGCAGAGGCAGGCGAGTGAGGGTTCACCTTCCTGGCCGAGCTTTGCTCAGCTCTCCCTGCTCCCTTCCTGCACAGGCTGCTGCCTCCTCCCGGGGCAGAGCCATTGGAGCTACAGAGCCTGGGCCACATCCAGAGTCCTATGGCTCAGCTCGGTTCAAGGTGGGACAGGCACAGCGCACCCCAAAAAGCCTCTGCCTGCTGCTGGTACTACATTTCCTTCAGCCGTAACTCTCAGGAAACAATTCAAAAAGGAGTAAAAACCAAACAAACAAAAAACCCCACCCTCTTTGCTCCTTTCCCCTCCCTCCTGCACGACAGGAGCCAGAGCAATAAGTTGGGGTTCCCCCCCGCCCCGCACTGCTGCTTGGCCTGTGGGGAGTCTCACAGAATGGACTCCAGGAGCCAAATCCCTGCCAGTGTTTCAGAGGCACCACGACTGCCTTTGTCCCCCAGGGAGGGGTGCTTGTCCCCATGGAGGGACATGCAGAGCTCAGAATCTGAGCGGCTCTGGCCAGGATCTGGTGCTGCGGGGTCCCCTGAGGAGCAGAACTGGTGACGGGGACCTGGTCCCCCAGCAGTCGCAGGGGACACACAGGGGCTTTACCCGGACAAGAGATGAACTGAAATCCATTCTTTTGCCCCCACCCAACTACTACCACCTCCAGGGACTGGGGCCGGCAGCAGGTAGAGGCCAGAAGCCCTCCCGGTGGGCTCAGCCCTGGAGATGGGCAGGATGCGGCCCACCGCTGGGTGCTGGGCACGGCGCAGCGCTGGGGGCCGGCGAGGGGGAAATCACCTCCTTGGGGACAGATCCTCCTTCCTGGCCCGTTACCGTCACATCTCAGCGGAGTGGGGTCCCTGCACACCCTCGTGGGGCTCTGTGCTCCCCCGCAACCAGCCCCCGGAGCGGCCTTTTCTGGACTTTCCTTTTTGATTTTTGGTTGTTTCATAATTAAGGCAATTTGGGGGTTACTGCGCACAGACAAGAGTCGAGGTGCATCTGCTTTGAATTAACGGGAAAATGTTATCTTGGGGCGGGATTTTGGGGGGGGGCGACTGCTCCCCTTCCCTCTCGGTACCGACCTGTGTCCGTGCCCCGGCGGCGGGTAAGGGTGAAGGGATGAGGCCGAGCTGCCGCTTCCTCCCGGCTTTGTCTTTCAAAGGGCTCGGCCGGGCTGAGCCCGGGCTAGAGCTGGGCCAGGGGGTTTAGTGATAAAAAACAAGCCCCACCAAGGAGCAGAGTGAAGGCAAAAAAAAAAAAAAAAAGCAACTGAAAATCAGGAAAAACAAAGTAAAAAAAAATCCGCTGCACAAACCGGTCTGATAAACGCGTCGGGTTCGGGGTTTTTCCCCTTTCCAAAGGCACCGCATTTCCAAGCGTCCAGCGGGTTCCAGCATTGGAGACAAATAAATAAATGGCCAAAAAGGAGAAGGCAGGAAGGGAGCAGGATACAGGCGTGTAGCTAAATAAACAGAGTCGCAGGGGGACAAAGAGGATGGGAAAAAGGGAAGATACAGATACCCCCCAAACCAACACCCCCTGACCAATTTTGCGGCGCTGGGGAAGCCAGCAGCTGGGGAACAGCTGCACGATTATTGGGTGAACCGGGAGGGGAAAGGAGCACTCGGAGGGATCATTAGTGAAGGGACGGGGCACGGGAAGGGCTCCCGGGAACCGGGGGAGAGAACGCGGCTGCCGGCACCCGGAGCAGGTAAGCGCGGCCCCGGTACGGCCCGGCCCGGGGGGTGGCAGTGGGGGCTCCCCGTGCCCCGTGGCTTTCTCTACCTGTTGTGCCGAGCCCCACCTGGTTCCCATTACACTGCGGTGCTGCCTTTTTTTTTCTTTTTTCCTTTTTTCCTTTTTTTTTCCTTTTTTTTGGGGGTTCTATTAAAGCGAACGGGGACATAAAAGGCCCGCGGGACGGGATGAACCGGAGCCCTCGGCGGTCTCCGACGGCCTCGTCCGGGAGGGAAAGAGCGAGGAGAGGAGCGGGCCCGGGGGAAGCGCCGCGTCCTGCCCGAGCCTGGCGGCGGCCCCGAGCCGGGACCCCCCGGGACCCCGCCGCTCCCGGCCCAGGAGCTGCCGTCGGGCGCCGGGCGCTGCCGGTGAGGCCGGGCCCGGGCGGCGGCCGGACGCGTCCCCCCCGAGGGACGGGGCCTCTTTTCCATCCCCGGAGCTTGAACTCACCCCGCTCCCGGCCCCGCCGCCCTGGCCGGGATCCCCGCTCCCCTCGGGCTTGCCGGGGTCGAGGCCGCCCGAGCCGTGGCGGTCTGTGCTCTAACAGGGCCATGTCGCGACAGCGGGAGGGTGTCGGCGATAAGGGGGCCCGGAGGCACTGAGGGCAGCCCGCACGGCGCATCCCCGGGGCCGACGGCAGGATCGGGCTCCGTGCGGGGGCAGAAAGGAGGAAAGAAAAGGGCTGGGGGAGTACCGGCCCCGGCTCCCACCTCCACCCCGCAGCTCCCGGTACCTGCAGCCCCGGCCGGGTAGAAGGGCTTCCCACTGACGGCCACGGCGAGGGGCCCCGGGCTGGTGGCACCCAAATACCGGGGCTCTGCCTTGTCCGGCGGGCAGTGGGGGCTGAGCGGCGGCGGGTGCCGGGGGGGTCCTGGCTGCCCGGCCACGAAGGGGCCGGGGGTCCGCGGTGGCCCCGGGGGGGGCCCGGCCCGGCGGCCGGTGGGGAAGGCCGGGCAGCCCCTCGCCTCCATGCTGCAGGTTGGAGGGGCCGGGGCGGCCGCGGGGAGCGGATTTTGTGCGGGGCTGGGGGGGGGGGGGGGGGGGGGGTTGGGGCTGGAAGGGAGGGCTCGCCCAGCACCCCCAGCACACTCACACCCACCCACCCCAGCCCACTGCACCGCTTGGGTCACGTGCGCCCTCCCACCCGCTCCGTTAACCCTCTAATCCCGGTGCCCCCCCAGCCCGGGACGCCCCGATCCCCCTGCCGTGGCTGCGGGCACAAACCCGCTCCGTGCCCGGGCAGGGGCTGCGGGGGTCTGGGCCTCCCTGCTTGCTGCTCCCCGGGGTCTTCGGGCTACAGGAAGCGCCCAGGGCCCTTCCTTGATTCCAAGCCTCAACCCCAGCCCCTGGGAGCAGCTCAAAGTCCCAGGCAGGGGGATAAACCTCTGCCCTCAGTCTTTCAGACACCCATTGGGTTTTTTCCCCTTTGCAGGCCGCGTGAGGCTGTCTGCGGCCTTTCCCTCCTCGGGGCTGCGGCTGAGGCCTGGGCAGGCTGGGGCAGGGAAGATGCTGACCCCGAGGCACGGCACCGGGGCAGGCAGGGCTCTGAGGCCAGACCCACGGCTCCATGTCCTCTGTGTCTGTGTCTGCCCCCGGAGCAGCCCCGCAGGGCTGAGCGCCGCTGTGCCCCCAGCTCAGATTCGCAGAGCTCCCGGCTCCCTTCCCTGCTGTGGGGATGGCGAGGCGAGGGGCCGGGGTTTGCCTGGGTTCGCTCCTCTTCCATCCTCTCTTTCCTCCCTTTCTGCTCCTCTGCGTCCGTCTGCATCAGAGCCACTTCGGCTGCATCCTGGCGCCCCAGAGTTTGGATCTGGGGGCTGGGGGCAGGTTTTATACAGCTTTGGGGGTGGTTAAGTGCAAAGTGATCGGGTCAGGTTTGGCGATTCAAAGGCTGGGTGTTACAGCAGGGAAGATCAATGTCAAAGAGAGGGGAGATTAGGTAACAGATGCAGAGAAACGCACGGAGAGCAAAGCTGCAGGGTGATGTTTTCCATTTGCTGTTTTCCCATATGCATGGCACACAGCACAGCTCTCTGCTAATCCTGGGACATTGCTCTGTGCTAGGATCTCAAAAACAAACAAACAAACAAAAAATAATCTGTGGGTATCAGGGGATGAACTGCTTCGGAGTAGCAAAAATAGGTGGAGAAGAACCAGGTGGGTCACAGACATGATAAACAGCCAAACAACAGCACAGCACTGACAAATAATGTTGTACATGGTGCTATTGCTTTTATTGGCGGTGCTGGCAGTGTAGGTGTGCTTTGTTAGCCTGTGGCACAAATCTGAAATCAAAAGGCAATTTTGCTTTGAAGATTATGATAAAAATATAATGTGATCCCTAGGTCTCATCCGCAGCTGCAGGATTGATGCTGGTGGTGTCAGGTTGTCGCACAGCCCCGTGTTATCGCAGGAGCACCAGGTCCGCAGCGTGTGCTGTAAATCACGGCTGGGTGAAAGCCCCCGGGGAGGGAAGCTGAAAAACAAGGAAAGCAGTTGTGGGGCTGTGATGCGGGGCTCCGGTTTGTTCTGGTGGTGTTCCCTCCTTATCCTCCCCCCCCCCCAAATGCCTGTGACGGCTCTGTCCACATCCTGCTCTGCACACAGTGCTGCCCAACACTTTCCCTTCGCAGCAGCTGGAGCTGCCGCGAGTTTCCCCGTTAGACTGTCCTCAGCTTGCTGCATGTTGTAAATTATTGCTAAATAGGGACTTTAAGTCCTCTGGCATGTGACAAGTCATTAAGTGTTATTAAACATAGCATAACTCCTGTAAAGGCTTATTAGTTTCAAAGAACCTCTCCCAGTTTTAATGCTGGCATTTAGAGACTTTTAATAGCAGAGGGATGAGTCTGTCCATGTGTGCTGCTGGTGTGGAGGGGGGGCGGCAGGGACAGGCTGCTGCCTGGGGATGTTCTGTCCTTCTGGGCTGGATCCATGGCAGGGGCCCTCCTGGGCAGGTGGAAGGCTCCTGGGAGGTGCTTGGTCTAAAGCTAGCAGGGATTTGGAGGATCTGGGTGCTGAAGGCAGTGGTGGGGGGAGAGGTTTGTGAGCCCTTTTGGGTATTTGTTGTGCAGATGGCAGTCTGTGGAGGTGCTGGTGGATTTTGTCGCATCAACCCAGCCAGTAGGGCTGACCCAGGACTCCTGGGGTCTCCTGGGTCCGCCACCACCCCTCTGTCCTGGGCTTTCTTGTCTGTGGAGCCAGACTGCGGTGCCTCATCCTCCTGGTTTGGCGCACAGATGGGGTGGGTGCTTTGGGATCAGGGGAAAGGCTGCAGGGGAGGGCAATGTGGCGGTCTGCTTGTGGCCCTCCTTGTGGCCTGGGGCTCTGCACTGTGCGCGGGTGTTGGGACAGGGCTGAGCAGGAGAGGGAGGTCACCATGGGGCTCATGGGGTTCATTTGTCACAAACCAGAGTATTTGTGGAAGAAGGATGACTGTGACCCTTCAGGAAGAAACTTTTCACACTGTCTTAGCATCCAAATGACACCTCTGCAAGGAGACATGCCACTGGTTCTGCTCTTGGATGGAAAAGTCCTTTTGTGTCCCAGTTTTGTCTATTTACACATGTGCTACCAAATGAACCATGGCAAAAGACCTGCAAAGTGCAGCAGGAGGACTCCAGTGGGATGCTTGGAGTGAAAACATTTTTTGTTTTCGGTTTCTCTCTTGCTGGCTCAGAAGAGGATTTTTTCCCTCTTTGCATCCCATTGGCTTTCCCAACCATCTTAAGCCATCTCAGAGAGCTGCCTTGCCTCCCTGGAGATCACAAGATGTCACTGAAGTGCTCGGCAGGAGTCCGGGAGGGTTTGCATAGCTCTGTGGTTTGTAAGAATATCCCTGCACAGCCAAGACTTTGTAAAGCTACCAAGAGCCTTGGAAAAGCTTGCACGGCATGGAGCAATCCCTACTGCGCAGGACCAGGAATGTGTTCTCTCCCTCTCACCCTTCCTGCCTCCTGCAGGATTTGGGGTCCCTGCCTCAAAACAAACACTGGGATGTGCCAAGGTGCTGGGCTGCACCAGCCTCACGTCCAACCTCCACCGGGGCATACCCAGTGCCCAAATCACCCCAGACTTCCACGGTTCAGCAGATGGAGGTCACAGGAGGCAAGGGCCAGCGCAAGCCTCTTGGCAGCCCTCAGCCAGAGCCAGTTCCACTTTCTGCCCCTCTCTGCAGTGCTGAGAGCAAGCAAAGGGCAAGCAGAGCAGCAGGCAGTGCTGAGGGGGGGGTCAGCAGCCTCACTTTGACCAATGGGCTTTGTCTCAGGAATTTTGATTTTTTTTTTCCTGAGAAATCTGCAGTTTGGGAAGAAAGCACTTCCTGGGAGCCTGCTGAGAAACAGCCACAACTTCATCTGCAAAGCACAGGGGAGCTCAGCTCAGTGTGTTTCTGCGCGTCGGCTTCAGGGTTAGGGCAGGGCTGGGTGCAGGGGTGACTGCCCTCCTGATGCCACTGGGGCACCGAAGCCCAGCCCGTGGCACCCCTGGCTGTGCTGGGCAATTGCAGACTGAGCCTGGAGCAGGGCTTGGAGGCTGTAGCTCAGCTCTGATTCACCTCTCCATGTCTGCTGTGTGCGGACAAAAGGAGGTGGGATGTGCCGCAGGCCTCTGCCTGTTGTGGCAAGGCCGTGTTGTGGGGAATCCCAAGAGGTTATTCCCCTAACCAAGATGTGAGACTTGGCTGTACCGGCTGCCTGCATCCCCAGTCAGGGCTCCTCCAGACTCTGCGCCCCAGGGCAGGAACCTTCTGGGGATTCGCCCTGGCTGGGCTCAGTGTGGTCTGGTGCGGGGCTGGGGCACATCCCTGCCTCTCACCCTCTGGGTCAGCAGTAGCATGGGGCAGGGGCATTTTCCATATTCCCAGGCAGCCTGATGCCAGCCTTGAGCAGCAAAGGAAGCCGTTTCTTTGCTCACATTTTTTCCTAAAGCTGCAGCAGTACCATGGGTTCAACCCTCAGCCTTTGCCTGTCTGCATGTCCCTCTTTTCCTCAGAAATACCCCAGAAAATCCCCCAATTTCTGTTGCCTGATTCATTGCAGAGCTTTGTCTCCAGCCAAAGTTCGATCTTGCTCAGGAATGTGTGTGGTGATGGCAGGAAAATGACTTTATTAATTCACCTGGGGAAATCTTCCTTGCTGCTTGCGATCCTGGTTTGCGTTAGGCTGAGTGGGAGACAGAGCCCCTCGGCCTGACCCTGCCGGAAATCCATCGGTTCCACCAAGCCGGAGCCAGATTTGCTGTTTAATGAGGCTGGCGAAGTAGAAAATGGTCCCGTTCCCAGGTCTCACAAAGGAAAAGCACAGACACAAACGTATCCCCGCATGTAGTAACAATGCACAAAGGCAACGGCAGCCTCCGTGCCACTCACGCGATTTACAAAAATACCGATATACACACACGTATTTATAGCCACCCAGAGATATGCACAGATAATTCAATTGCATGAAAATACGTATTACAGACGTGCACACAGCACAGGGCATTTCTGTATCAGTGTGTGTTACCAACACATGGACAGCAAAAGCGTGCAAGCATGCATCTAGATTGCGGAGACACAGATGAGCGTGTGGCAGTTGCACCCGCACAACAGCAGAAATATCCACATTTGTACAAACATGTTGTGATCATCTTTCCTATATATATTGTGATCATCTTTCCTATATAATCCAGCCCTGCCTGGCTGGATTACAGCTCTGTTGAAATAGCTAAGGAGTGATATCTGTGTGCTGCAATAGCACATGTATGCCCTCGGCACTGGCAATGGGGGGAACTTTTCAGGCAAATTGTGGCTTTGTTGAGAGTACAGCTCTGGGCAAGTTTTTCAGCATCGTTACCGAAATCTCTAAATTATTGTGTAGTCCCGGCAGCGGCTTGAGTTCTTACTCCAGAGCAACATTCAGTGTCAAAGCGTGCCTTAAATTAATGATAGCAATAACAATCAAGGCAACAAAACCCATGAAAATGAACTGCATGGCTGTGAAT